ATCCGCCCCACTGCTGGACCTCTCTCCACACCCACTTGCAGGCCAGCACTTCGGCCTTGGTGCACCTGATGGAACCCCACATCCGATCAATCCGGAGACCTGACATCCCCTCCCCCCTTCTCAGCTGCTTTGCCCCAAAGGAACAGGTTGCTGGGGCGGCTCTGAAATCTTCCTCAGCCTTGAGCTGGGAGTTTTCTTTCAGGAACACATCTGAACAGCGTCAGTTTGCAGCCCAACTCTCATAGGCCTCTCTTCCTGCTTGCACGCCACGCCACATGCTTAGCTGGCTCTTTGCTTCACACCTTTAGGCACCCACACCCACCCACTACCATCCCCAGGCCTTGGGAACAGGAATTCTGTGGTCACGTTGCTGGCATGTAAGCCTCACTGCAAGGGCTGATCTTCACCCATCCAAAGCCCCCCATTTGTCATCAGGGCTTTGATACCCGTCCTTCCAAACAAGTTTCTTATGTGACTGGAGTTCATCTTGGGAAGTTGTAACTCCATACCTAAGTCTAACCACCTCCTTATTCAGGCACCTCCATGAGTCTAAATGGCCCAACTGTGTGGCTCAAGTATTACTATTGCGCTCCTCTGTTCTCTAGACTTCCTTAGGTAGTTATAGATGCACACAGAATGGCCTCCCTGGGCAAGAGGCTTTTCTTTCCTTTGTTTATGTCTCTCTGAACTCTTTCTCATAATTTTCTAACAGTCACAAACTTCCTATAGATACTGAATCTTATTTCACATTGACTCTGCCCTTTTTGTTTTCATTATCAGAGTCTTGCAAAGCATCACGGGCTCGTGTGACTTGGGTAACATTTCTCTACTTCTCCATCTGAAGCTCCGTCTCTCTCCATGCGTCCCACACCCAACTGTGCAGTCCATTTATTTCTCCAAAATACAATGTATGTAGTGTTACAATATGCTTCACATATCCTAATTTTGTTCAGGAGAGAAGTTAAGGATAACGGATAACCATAATTCAGTCTCTAGGAGAGAGAGAGAGAGAGAGAGAGAGAGAGAGAGAGAGAGAGAACAGAACATGCCCAAGACATTATTACATTTACTTAACATCCTGCAAACTCAAGTTCACTTTGCATGAATATGGTTCCCTGCTGGCCATGTGTAGGTTGAAGCCACAGGTGAAATTATAACCTGGTCTTCTCTCACAAAGATTCGTCTTTATACTGAGAGCATTTAGGGAGTAGGTTAAGGTCCTTCCTGAACACCAATGGAAAAGTAATTTTAAGAATTGCCTGCTCCTATGAAAAGTTCATTTACAGTTCCCGGAGTGCAACTCAGTTAAACCCCTTGAAGGCAACCTACACACGTGAATGGATTATTTTATTTTTGCAGGAAAAATACCAATAACATAATAAAGACTGGGGGCTGGCTAGAAATAGGAACAGTGTGGATATGCTACTCTTTACAGCATACAATGTGTTGAGTTATTCAGTGGATGTAAAGTCGTGCTGATGCGCAAATACAATCTGTTGGACATGCTTTGTAAGAGCGAATGTGGAGAATTATAAGTTTCTAAAGGGGCTGTTTGGGATTCTGCATGCAGCATTTACTGTGCATAAAGGTGGACATATGTGGATGAAAAGGGAAGGTTGGGCTAGCTGATACTTAGAACTCCACTTCTCTCTTTGAAGAATCCCAAAGCCAGGACAGTATACTGTGATATACCTATATGAGCTAGATGTCCAAAGCTCAGATGTTCAAGAATGGGTTTTCTGCACCTTTGTACAAAGCTGCCCACTGCAGCACCCTGTTGTGGTTGCTATGGTAACCTACTGCACTGAGGCATTTACACAGAGGCACAGGCACTTTCACTTCAGAATCAGAAAGTGCATGCTTGGGCTCCAACCTCTCAGTCACCAAAATAGGCTCAGAAGCAGTGATTTGGTGGTGTCTGTCCCCTTTGGCCTGGAATTCCCAAAGGAGCAGCATCTAAGTGAGCAGAATGAGAAGGGTCCAAGTTCTTGGAGGACAGACTGAAGGGTATCTGTTCTTGAAGTTGACTTCTGTGGTTCTGAGTGCTACAACTTAAGATTCATAGTGAGGGATATAGCAATCCCTGGTAGATCTCCTCTCACACTTCTCTGGAAGCAAACAGTAGTTCCTGGAATTTACGAAGCCCAGGACACAGAAGGTAACTAAGCGTGCGTGGCCCAGATACTCTCTAGTAACAGGAACACAGATACTTGTATGTTTGGATGCTGACACACAGGAATGCTGAGGAAAGAGATGCTCCTGTGAAAAGAGCAGGCTCCATGGACCACGGATGTAGCAGGGCCTTGGCCAAAATCAGGTCTTGTCACTCCTGGAAAAATAATGAGAATAAACAATAAATGTTGGCTGTCTTTTGCTCTGAGGATCAAGACAGACTTTTCTCATTCCAAGCAAGGGTCTTTAAAAAGTGATCTTGCTGCCAACTCTTTGAGCACCATTATCCTTTCAGATCAGTTGCAGTTTTCAGGGTTCAGTTAAGTTTTTGCACATGCCCCCTTCTTCTTAGAGGACTCTCTGTCCAGTCATGTGAACATTACACTCATGTTACCTTTTTGTGAAACCTTCCCTAATACCTCCACAGACCACTGTCATCTGGAGCATCTTTGGACCTGTTTTTAAAGACTATATATATATATATATATATATATATATATATATATATATGGCTTGGCTTTGTCTAGGAGAATTGAAGGTACTTGAGGTCATGTGGAAGGTTAAGATGATAGTGGTGACCGTGAATACATGGATATAGGAATGGCCTGGCTATGTATGGAGACAAGCCTGACTAGAGTGGAGCCTCGATATGGGAATGGTGAGGACTGCATGTAATTCTAGAGAGTAGGGCATGGCTCTCCACAGGTCAGGCAGGGAGGGATGACTTGACACAGAAAGCAGTGGCACGTGACATGTGGCTCCAGAGATTTTCTCAGCTATCAGCCCTGTTCATTTTACTTGAAAGATAATCTACGTGGTAGGGTAGAAGGCATCTTTGCCTCCTTTTCTTTTAGGTGGAAGTTGCAGACTGTGGTATAAGGGTAAGATGAGATATGTCTTTTTTGGCTATCCAAAGCTTTGAATTGGAATGTTTATACTCAGGTCTCATCGACTCTAACTTGCCTCCCTTCCCACAAATACGAATTTTACTGTGGGTGATTGTCTTATTTTATGGTACTTAACAGGCAACTCCAAGTCAGGTAATGTACATCTCTGCTTTCAGGTATGTTGTGAAGGTTTTTTAAACTATTGCAAAGCAGCTGTGATTTGTAACTGAAAATATTTGGGTATATAAGCCATATTATCCTTTTGGGAGAATTCAAAGGTTTACTAAATTAATATACCAACTAAAAATTCTTGTCTTGGCTTTCATAACAGCAGATATTCCTGCTTTGGGGTCATATTTGATCTTGGGATAGGGTTAGTGTGAAGAGGGATGTTCAGCTTTTCTGTGGTGGGAAGAAGTTGTGTTTATCATCCCCAATGACACCTGAAGAGGATGTTCTGTTTCAAACCTAACTTTTGAGCCTTTGCAGGTATAGACCTTAGTGAGGAGACAGCTTGTCCTTATGCCTTGGTGTTTGGCACTAGCTGTTGTGGAGTTAATGGTAGAAAGTATGCCTAAGGATAAAACAGCCTGTAGAGGTGTGGTAAGGACGCGCATACAAGATGCTGTCAAATGTGTCTGGAGCAGTCCAGTATGGTGGTTTAAAAGACCAGGTTATGAAATCAGATCTGGTGTCAGCCTCCAGCTTGCCACCCTTTCCAACAATAGAGAAGACTGAAGATCATTGGAGATAAATAAATTGTTCAGAGTCCCTTTGTTAATAATGGATAGACCTGTCACTTAAACTTAGGACAGGATATATGACATTTAGGTTTTTCTCTATGCCTTTCACTGTATGCTTTAATTTTTTTTCAAAATCTTTTCACACAGTTAGATAAAGGATTTCTGGCAATGAATAGGATAGAGAAAACATACTCACCTGATTTATACAGAGAAATCCTTTATGTGTAAATATCTCTTGAACAGCTTTATCCATTTAGTGTTTCTTCACACAAGCCTTAATGCAGAAGGTGAACTCCATCAAGAAGAACCCTACAAGTTTTATTTGGCTATGAAGGACTTGAAAATTCTTATTCATAGTCCTGTCACTTTACTACTTGGAGGTATTTTTTTGGTATCCAGAGGTTGGGTGATGATGATAATATGTTCAATATTCAGAGGGTGGAGCCCCCCCCACCCCCTGCCCCCTCACCCCCTCACAGAAATTTGAGCTGAGAATACAAGGGGGAGGGGACCAATAGGACATGTAGAAACCCTTTGTGTGTGGCTCCTGTAAGAAGCTTCTGATTTTGTTATATGGTCTTGCACTTAGAATTCACTGTCGGAGCCCAGTGAGCTATCCCAAAGTGATCAGCTGTCTTTCTGTGCAACACAGGACAGCATTTTCTCCTTACAGGTGGGTTTGAACAGGAAGAAATCGAAGTACTTCAATACCCCTCACATCTTTTCACAGATCTCTCCATCTTCCACGGAAAAGGGAACTTTAAAATGTATTTTCTGTATTGCTTTTCTGTACAGTGAACTGTTTAGGTTAACAGTGAACAAATTTATACAGAGTGGCGACCTCATCTGAGACACGGTGGGATGAATGATGGCAATCTTAAGCTGGAGTTTTCAGCACTTAAACAACACATACTAGCAGAAGGAGCTAATTTATAGTATTGAGAGGGTTATTATTTACTATTTTCCACTGAAATGTAGATTTTTACATCAAAGGAGTTTTGAATGCAGGAATGATGAATTTTATGATGCTTCAAGTGTTACTCAAGATGTGCTGACACAGCTTAAATTCAAGATATTGGAGCTCATGAAAGAAAAA